ATTTAAGTTAAAACTGGTTTTCTTAATAGTACCATATGAACTTACCATTGAAAGTAGTTAGATTATTTATGAAATTGTGTGATCAATACAATGTGGGTGGGAAAGGAATGGAAGACAATTGTAGACACCGAGATCGTGTGAGAAGAGGATGGGAAAGGACAGAGGGTCAGAAAGAAGGGTTAAAAAAAATTCTAGGAACTAGAAATGGAAAATTTTTGATAATAATATGCATGATTAAGTCACTATGCAGTATATTCTGGATGAGAAATCACTTTGTATGCTGTGATGATGCTGAGGGAAAGAATGTAAATGAAGTTACAAAAAAAAGTTTCAGAAAAAATAATATCTACTCAATGACTGCAGTAAGATACATAGCCCCAGGTAGGTGCTACTTTATAGGATGCCTAAAGTTAGACTTGTGTTCATGGAAATGTATATATCAGCTGTGTTTGCTATGAAAATATTTAGATTAATTAAGATCTTTAGTAATTCAATAAAATGTGTGTGGGGGGGGGAACAGTATAGAAAGTAAACATAGATACCAGAGACAAGTGTGGGAGGAGAATGGGAGATGACAGAGGATAAGAGATAGGGAATCAAGGATGGGGGAAAAAGCAAAACATACAGGAAACAAGAAATGGAAAATTATTTGTTGACAACATGTTTGTTGATGTGCTTGATTGAGACAATATACAGTGTACTCTGGATGGAAAATCTCATTTTGTATGCTGTAATGATGTACAGTGAATGAATGTAAATAAATAAATTTAAATTTTAAAAAATCCTGAAAAAGAGAAACTAACATATTAATACAATGAATACAAGACCTCTGAAAAATTAGTTTTTCAAAATGGAAGGCCGAAGACATCAAAATATAAACTTTAGACGTAGAAGTTAACTTGTAATTTATAATATGTAGATTTTAACTTCTATCATGGATATTTTAAAATATGATTTTATCTCAATAACCATGATTCAATAACTTGCTATCTTATTTTTTTCTTCTACAACATTAGGATGACAGATTGATATTTCTTACTGGAAATCAAAGTCATTTTAACTCACTGAGATCCTTTCCATTTTAGAAGCTCATCTCTAACCATTGAAATATGGCCTGTGAAGCTTGTTATCAAATGCTATTTGATTCTGATAATTATACCTTCATATTTTAAGTCTGTCACTTCCTGACATTTGTGAGTGTACGGAAAGATCTTTGAACCTTTAGATTTATCTTATCTTTTCCAATTTCTATTTTTCGTGTGCATGTATGACTTTACAGCATACATACAATTTAGTAACAGTAAAAATATAGAGTATGAAAGGCAAATGTTCATATGGTAGCATTGCAGGCTCATGCATTTTTTTACTCACAGATACGCCCAAAGATAAATATTGACCACTGGTTTAATTTAAACCTTTTAAATATTCAGAGCAAAAATTCTTTTCTGATGGTGTGATTATGTTCAAGATATTTTACAGCCAGCTCTCTGTGTACAGGGACTGGAAGAGGCAGTGTGAGTTTGTTGTGTTTTGGTTGATTCACATTTGGTTTGAGCTTGATTTCCGTGGGATGTTCATGGGATGTTTTAAATAAAAGAAGGCAAGCGTATATATTTTTAAAACTAGATTATAGTGTATAAAATAATTTTAAAGTTATTTTTAATATATTTCATGAAGAATGGTAAGGTTTAAATCAAGAATTGGTAGTTCATATTTAATTTTAATTAACTCATTTCTTATATCCTAGGCTGACCACATATCCGGTTTTCACATAAGATCTGTTCTCTGTGTACCTATATGGAATAGCAATCACCAAATAATTGGTAAGACATTACCTAAATAAACTCCTTAAAGAAGGAGAGATTTGCCATAAAATCATCATTTTTAAAAATCTTTACCTCCCCCTCTCCCCTTTTTCATTCTTTCTTTCTTTCTTTCTTTCTTTCTTTCTTTCTTTCTTTCTTTCTTTCTTTCTTTCTTTCTTTCCTAAAGGCTTTTGCAATAGGATGCATGTGCTTGCCAGAGAGAGAGACAAAGACAGTGAGAGGGAAAAATGAGAAATTGCCCCCAGGGAGGATGGACATTCTGTACTCCCTTCTCCTCCATTTCTGCTCCTGGGATTTATAGACTCACACACATACAGGTACCCAGCATGATTTTCAAGATGCCAGGTCTAGGACTGGAACCATGGTTGGCTATGTTGGAGCCCAGTGCCTTAACTCTCACACCACCTAGTGGTCCCTTATTCTTTCTTAAGACAATCCTGCCTCAATCTCCCAGCTGGGATAATGAACCCACCACTGTACCCGGCTGTTTTTTAGATAATCTACCTGTATTGTCCAGGCCTGCCCTGAACTTGTGATCCTTCTGCCCAAGCCTCCCTGAGTCACTGGAATCATAGGAGCACACCACTGCACATGGCCTTCAGGTTGGACCTGGAACCGGGGTCTCCTGCATAGTTCCAGTCTGCAGAGTGCAGTGTCTTAGCAGTGCACACCACCATACCTGTGACCAGGTGTCCCCTCTCCCTTTTTTTTTCCAGAGGTTTTTGCAATAGGGTGCGTGTGCTCGCCAGAAAGAGAGAGACAGAGACAGAAAGCGAGAAATCACTCCCCAGGGGGGATGGCCACGCCGCAATCCCTTCTCCTCCATTCTCCTCTCGGGATCTTGGGCATGCACACACATGCGCCCGGCGTGAGTTTAAGCCACAGGGTCCAGGACTTGAACCACGGTCGACTGTGTGGGAGTTCAGCGACATAGCCATTACGCTAACTGCTGGTCCCCCTACCCCTTTTTTATGTCCAGGACTCATCAAACTGTATCTCATACTCTTGTATAATTTCATACTGCAAACACCTAACAAAGAAACTTTAATCAGAACATGAACAAATATTTATTAAGCTCAAAGAGCCATTAATATTGAAGCTGGAGGGATGCTTAAAAATCAACCAATAGCACTCTTATTTTACCTTTTGGAAATTGAGGCTCAGAGAGAGTGGGGAGAAACCTGAATAAAATCACAATAGTTAGTAGCAAGTCAGGATTAAAACCAGGCCACCTGGGACCAGCAGGTAGCATGATGGTTAAGGCGATGAACCCCATATGGCCGACTATGTAGTTCAAGTCTCAGGCCTGGAGGCTTAAGAAGCACTCGAGGCAAATCCTGAGAGGAGAATGGAGAAGGGATTGCAGTGTGGCCATTTTCCCCTGGGGGTGATTTCTCACTTTCACTCGCTTTCTCTGCTTTCTCCAGCTACTATGTAAGCCCTATGGCAAAAAAAAAAAAAAAAAAAAAAAAATCTAAACTAATAAAACCTCAGGCCTCTTAACTCCTCGTATGACTTTCTGACAATGTCTGTATATGTACATCTGTGCTTTTACATGTGATATAATACAAAGGAAGAAAGAACATGCAATCAATATTAGACCTGATATATCGTAGTTATTGTAGAGTCACATTGAAAGCCATTTTTGGAGAATCAGATTGAGGCTTAGTAGATTCGGTAGACCAGATTTACCAAGACCTAATCTGCCTGCCACAGCCCTAGAGAGTATCACTGTCTACCTCAGATTTACTCATGGCATCACTGGGCACCAGAGAGACTCGAGTTTTAAGTGTCTGCAGTGACTTACACGGTACACTGTATATGGTAACACAATGTCTGGAACTGAAAATAACCACACGCCCCAACCTTTCCCCACAGGCGTGGCTCAAGTATTAAACAGACTTGACGGGAAACCTTTTGATGATGCAGATCAACGACTTTTTGAGGTAAGAAAATAAATTTACAAACCAAGGCTATAGCTCTTCCCTCAATAGTCTCTTGGTTGTAGCTTGCTTCTCTGTGAGAGTAAATTATTAACCCATTATCATGATTGCTACAAAAACGTAAAGGAAGACAGAGAATATGGTAAAATTTGATTCTATTTTTCACTTAGTAGACTATTTTCTATTATTTCTATCGTGATTATTGTTACTGAGTTGAATCTTCCCCTCGTCTCTTCAGAGTGAGACTATCTTATTCATGTCTCACTCCTGTGTGTTCAGGCTTAAGACCTACCAGCTTTGCCAGGCGTACCATCCCCTGGAGGGGGCTGCCTTGAACAGGCTTCCTTATAGAGGCCATAGACTGTACCAGCGGCCAACATGAAACCCCAATTACTTTTCTCTGGCCAAGAATACCTCACGCCTTCTTTATTAACTGATTCTAAATCAATTTTCCTCCTTAACATTTGCCGTAGGTTTACACTGACTTGGTTTCTTTACCAAAGTACTGTATAGCCTACCTACTGAAAGAGGTTTTTGGTTAAATAGAATGGAATTGCTAAAATCTGTGTACAACCTAAATAAATTAAGAACACATTTAAACAGGCTCTAAGTACCTATGATTTTGAATGTCTGAAGTGCTTTCTTCACAATGACATTAAATTAACAATTTTTTTCTCTTACACAATGTGAGCTATAAAGTTGTTACATGACAATAGTAATTAAGAATTTTAATGTGCCTGTTTCCCCAGGGCCCACCTCTGTGTACAATAAAATTATATTTGCAGGCCCATCCCTAGTGACTGTCTGCTTTTATATTAGATTTTTGCCAATGAGGTATTGCAAGTTTTAATTAGCATGCTTTCCCTTTCTTAGGCTTTTGTCATCTTTTGTGGCCTCGGCATCAACAACACAATCATGTACGATCAGGTGAAGAAGTCCTGGGCCAAGCAGTCTGTGGCTCTTGACGTAAGTATAGTATTTATGTTGGACTTATATGCTAAAAGCCCTTATTTTATGATGGGGAAAATATTTTTTATGAGGCTTAATTTCTAAGTTTCTAATGATATATTCATTGGGTCTAAATCATTTTAGGGTCATAGATTCAAATTTGGTGAAAGTTAGAGACCCTCTCTAGAAAAATGCATACGCATACACAGCGCTCCATATAATTTCAAGGAATCCACAGATTCCCTGAAGCTCACCTATTTATGTTCTATGGTTGGTTACATCGATACATTTTAAATATTACCTTTATTAGTGATAATCCAAAAATAATTGGTCAGGATTTAAAATGTATTTTGAACTTCAGCTTGAATATTGGTAAATATTATATAAATTCACAACTTTTCTTGTCATAAGAAAAGACCTCATGATTAAGATGTGTTACCCAGCTAGGAGAGGCTGCTCCAATTATTGTCCAACAACCCCCACTATGCACACATACGCGTTCTATCAAGGATTCTATTTTGTCCCATTGCATCTCCTCTTAGGACACACAGTTCATTACCTGTGAATCTCAAATGCTTGTTTTGACCCAAGACATTTTTAAATCAGTAGATTGCACCAAAGATTTTGTTTATCTCTGTGAAATACTTATGAAGTAGAGCAGATAAAATAATACTTCTGGGCTAGCCAGTGGCGTAGGGATTAAAGCAACTGAATCCCTCATGGTCAGCTGCATGGTTCAAGTTCTGGACCCAGTGGCTTGAAAAACATGACAGGCTCTATTTGCATGTGTGCTCCAAATCCTGAAAGAACAATGGAGGAAAAGGGATTGTGGTCTGGCCATAACCCCTGGGGAGTGCTTTCTCACTTTCTCTCTCACTGGTGAGCTCACGCATGCTCTGGCAATTACAAAAAATCAGTGCCAAGATAACAGCATAAAGAACAGTATGATATAATACATGTACAACCTTCAAACCACTCTATGTACTTAGTCAGATATTGACAGAAAGAGAAACCAACAGGAAGTAAAGGTAGGCAAATTGATGGCATCTGTGGTAGTCTGGTTTGAGATTTAAAAGGCATGAAATTATCTAACTATATGCTCCCCCCACCTCAAGTAGACAGTGAGTTCTAGAAGCACAGGAATTTTTATGTTTTTTTGTAATTTATTTTCAGAGTTTAGCAGGGTACTTAGCACAGAGAAGGGATTTATTCAATGGTTTTTGGAGGGAATGGGGGAAAGAGGAAGGACAGAATGGAGATAAAAGATTTTATTTGTTCATCTTCTGAGATGGTACTGCTTTGTTTATAAGTAACATTTTTACAGTAATGGCTAAAAGATGAATTATAAATGGGTGAACTGTAAACATGCAACCAATGGATAAGAAACACTAATTTAGCACTAAGGTCTGTATTAAGCACAGTTTTCCAATCCTGATACTTTGACCTACTTCAATTGTGAGAATTAACTGAGATAATGCATGTGAAGATTTTAATCAGTAGTCAATAAAATTAGAGCAAGAACAATAATCAGTATATTATTATTCGTAGTGGTATATTTATCACTTGGAACCACCACGGGTTGGGAGAAAGAACAGAACAGGAATCTGGAACAGCAAATGTTGAGTAATGCCTTCTTCACTGACATCAAATTCTGATCTCAACAGAATGTCCTCATTCATTCTTTCTTAGTTCTTGCCACTCTAACAAGGACACACCATACACCAGTTCTGTCTAAATCCTACTTGGTGCACAGCACACATACAGAGAACAACTTCTATGTACCTACATTTTCTCCTCACCTTCCTGCTAGCACATCTTTCTCTTCCTGAGTGGGGGCTAGAATAACTGGATTGAAGCATGAATGGCCATTTTCCTGCAGATGAGAAGATTCAATAAAAGGCACACTCTTACTGCCATCATTTCCTCCCCTCCCGCCCCAAGGAGCCACAGTTACGTTGCCTAGAAAGAGCTAATAGCCCTGCTATTCAGTCAAAGCCTCCTTACCTTGGCAGCTTATTTGGGTTACACTCTGTCCTTAAAAACAAAAAGTATTATTGATGCTGGAAAATTTCTGGCCCAACTCCTAGCCTTGTGAAAATCTCATCCTTTTCAGACGTTGACTTACACGTGTTGACTGGCATGTTCTCTGTGGTTTATTGTGTGCCAGTGTCAAAAGTGGCATTCCCAGTCAGAATCCTGTGGTTGCCATTACTTTTTTTCTTTCCACCCTCAGCCACCCCCACCCCACTGGGTACCAAATTATTGACTAATCATCAGGTGGTTTCTTCCTCAATCCCTGGCTTAGAAATTCAAATATAAGAGTATCTGAAAGGATTTCCTCTCCTCAGGACTATATGAAGACAAAAATAAGTTGTTGAGAGCTACTAAACCCAAACTTAGAAGTGAGATCTACATGTGTTGTAGTATACATTAACTGCTGACAGAATATATATCTTTTAAACATATAGATATAAAACACCTGAATGTAAATAAAAATATTATCTATCTATATATATATAATATATAACATATATATTATATATAATATATAAATTTCTATTAAGCATATGTATTTATATTTACATATTTATAACCAGCCTAGTCCTATAAAGTATTTGAGCTACTTTACAAGAATATAAATAATCTAGGGGACCAGCAGGTGGCATAATGGTTACAACATTGGATTCCCACGTAGTGGACCATGGTTCGAGGCCCAGACCTGGCAGCTTAAACCTCATTCCAGATGCTTGTGAATGTGTTCCCAAGATCCTGAGAGGAGAATGGAGGAGAAAAGATTGTGCCATGATCATTTCCCCTAGGGGGTGATTTCTCACAATCCGTCTCACTGTCTCTCTCTCTCTCTCTCCAGCGAATTCAAGTGCCCTATAGCAAAAAATCTCTTAAAAAAAAAAAAGAATGTAAATAATCTAGTAAAATCTTTAAAAAAGTAAAGTAATAATAATCATGATTGAGCCAAAAGAGAGAGAAAGCCAGAGGCTAAGAC